TGTATTATTATATATTGATTATGTGATTATTATTTATCATCCTTGTTATATCTATCTCCACTGCTGATCACGCTTTTTGCCTAATTACCTTTTAGAATAATTGTGTTCTGCTGACTATGTTCTATTGTAGACATATTGAGATGATGGCGCGAACCGCCTTTTGACGCATCTCTAATCGGAAAAGACTCAACACGGATCTCTGCAGCTGACATTTGATACCGGTAAAGTTGAATCATGATCCGGAAATTTCAGTTTGCTCGCTTTCGGCTCTCTTTCTTTCTCTCTATCTTTCTATCTATTTATCTAGTTTCTATCATCTACTCTTATTCTACTCTATCGGTATCTATCATGATCTATCTATTATCTATCTATCGTATCTATCTATCTATCTATTACTTCTATCTATCTATCATGATCTATCTATTTCTAGTTTATCCTATCTATCTTATTTATCTATCTATCTATCTATCTATCTGTTTATCTAGCTTATCTTATCGTATCTATTCGAGTCTATCTAGTCTACTGCTAATCTATCTATCTATCTCCTCTCTCTCTCTGCTCGTCGTGCGTCTCTCCTCTCTACGTCTTCTTTCCTCTCTTTTCTCGCTCTCTGCGGCTCTCTCTCCTCTGCTCTCTCTCTCTATATATATATATATAATGATATATTATATCAATAGTAACATTGATTAGAGATTATTTATGCGACTCTTGATATGTACTCGTATTATGGTATTATACTTGTGTGATATATTAGTCCATCTATAAATATATATATATAGCTCTCTATCTATCTAGCTATCTAGTCTTATCTATCTAACTCTCATCATCCTATCTATCTATCTATCTTATCTATCTACTATCTAGTCTATCTATCTATTTCGATCTTCTCTATCTCTTCTATCATATCCTGTGTGTGTGTGTGTGTGTGTGTGTGTGTGTGTGTGTGTGTGTGTGTGTGTGTGTGTGTGTGTGTGTGTGTGCGCGCATATTTTGTATGCATCATTCTACGTATGTGTGTATACGATGTGATGTATGTGACGTGATGTGATGTATACGCATGGGCGTGTTTATGCGCGTGCGTGCGCATCTGCTTGTACGCGTGTGTTCGCGCAATCGTGTATACTTGTGCTTGTGCGTGTGCTTGTGCGCGTGCGTGTGCGTATGCAAGTGCGTGCGTGTGTGCGTGCGTGCGAGCGTGTGTACGTGCGTGCGTGTGTGACTGCGTGTTTAGTGGTGTTGTAACTGATGCTACTGCTACTGCTACTGCTACTGCTACTGCTGCTGCTGCTGCTGCTGCTACTGCTACTGCCGCTTTTATTGTTATGTAATTTTTATTCGCGTGTTTATTCAGAGCAACAGAGTGCGCTATAATCGCCAACATTACTTGGAAGTGTTTCAAGACTCGGAGTCGTGTACGGCCCTCATTGAATCAGAAGAACAGGACTCACTGCTGGAACTTGTGGAAGTAATGTAGCGCAAAAAATACTTTGTTAAGAATTTTTATTAGCAAGATTGTATCGTTCATCGTTCATGCAGAATGGTACGCTTATTTCTGCATTAACTTACATCGCTAACGAAACGTGCTACTTTATCTGCTGATATTTAGTATTTATTTGTGGGGTAAGATCGAGAGCCAATAATACCTACCTAGCTTTATGGGTTATATTTAGGTATTATTAGCTCTTGATAACTTGATAAGATGTCTAAGGGGTTGATGTCTGGACTCTGCCTTCACCCGATGGATTTTATTTTTTTAGAAATGGCTCGAGAGGACACCTGGGTTAGAGCCGACGCAATTCAACTTTATAAACCGCTTTAAGAATACTGTCGAGAAGATGTTAAAGGATGAAGAAAGCCAAGCTGAGGTGAAGATTTGTCATGTTTGTCGTCATTTAATTGCCAATGATGTCGCGATATCAATTCAGTATCAGTCAACTCAATATAAATTACCTGTTTACAGCTGCATTCTAATATAGTAAGTATTCATTCATGTGTTTGTGTGTGTGGGTGACTGCTTATTTGCGTGCGGGTGTGCGTGCGTGTGTGCGTGCGTGTGTTCGGGCATGTGTATAGTAGTGTTCAACATTAAAATCGATATATTGTTGTTTAAATTCAGGAGTACGAGGCGGAAACAATAAAGCAGGAGATAATGGAAAATGCCGCTCGACAAAGGGTATCTATGTCCGAGAAATATTAAGGGAGAGACTTGTATTACTTAGTGTTTTATTTCCTGCGATGCTTGATGATATTTTCATGCCATGTACAACTATATTTCATGCAAAGTTTCAATATTTAATGTCATATATTTAATAAAAAATATAATAATGTCGAGAATATATAAGAAAATTTTTAAGAAGTTTTTAAAAATATATGAAGTAAAGATAGCCCCTTTTATTGGTTAGCAAAACTTCTGATAAACTTGACCTTCTAGAGCGGTAATAGACAGGAAAAGATGTAGGGAGAATTAGAAGGTAGAGAAGAATTGAAGGTGAAGTAGTGGGGGAGACCCAATTTCACTAAATGTTTTGCATAAGATATTTACCGAAGAGCGCGTAAATTATTGACACATCGCATTAAATATATTGATACCTGACATGAAATATAGCGAAGAATATCACGAAATAAAACATTAAATAATGCAATGTTTCGCCTGCCATAAAAAGGTTGTTGATGAGAATGATAACGTAATAATAAGAAATGTATGAACTTTATGGCCGTTATTCCGTCATGATGCTGCGTTGCAGAAGTTGAACATAAAAAAGCGTTTATTGTGTAGATATTGCAAATTTAATGACATTGAAAAGCCGAAAAAGTAAAGTTTGACATAATCTAATTTTTCAAACAAATTCATTTTTTCTCGTATGTGTAAAGGAGGTATTTTCAACAATCTTCGACGTCCAGAAACATGAGAACCTTGTCGCACGAGGTAAGGATATCGAGCTCTTACGTCACATATTCCAGTCCAGCAGAAATATGGACACACATTAACTTTTCATACGAACAAAGAATAATAGCAATGCTTCTGTTTTATTCACTCCCTCCTAGGGTATTTTTTTAAATAAAAGTCTACACACTCTCAGTAGGGTGGCAAGTTTAGATGGTTAGACGAGGGGGCGGGTAAAATTTAACATTTAATGTGTATTTGATTGACCGTAGGCGAGAGAAGGTTGTCGCACAACGCAATGTTGGGTGCACTCATGATCTGTCTGTATCGCGACGAACCCCGTTTCAACCAGCCCTATCAACTGATAACAGCGCTCATGGATATCGACTCTCACATGACGAAATGGCGATGTAAGTCTAACCGTGTGTTATCATCTCCCCGGTGAGCAGCAGTCGTGGTGAAAGACTACTAAGTCCTAAGTGATTACGTCACCGTAAATAGGAAAAGTAAAAAAAATCATGTAGACTTTTTCACAAAATGTAAGTGATTCTGTTCACTTTTTATGGTTAAATTGCTGCATTATACTTCTTATTTTGCTATTCCGTTCGATGTGAACAAACACTCGAGAGTCACACATAGCACATAGCAAACATTTAATGTCGTGATAAATATATCAAATCGCTCAGGTTTTTTGGATTTTTAACTAGTTGAGAAACAAACCTTCTCAGGTAAAAATTTGAGGATACATTTAGTCCCGTTAGTACTTAATTTTAATTATAAAAAAATTGCAACAAAAATTTTACAAATATACACCATAGAAAATTCGTGGCGTAGTCAATTTAAAACAAGAAGACTTTTTAAAATGCAAGAGATTTTATCATTCCCGCGCAGGGCGTTTATTACCCAAGGTATTATTATACCCAGATGGAAACCACGCACAAATCATTCCATAACGCAAAGTTGTCATTGGGTTACCAATTATTATGAAATTTTGGGGAATCACGAAAAAATTTCAAACCTTGTTATTTATTTACATTGTTGAAAAAAACATTCGTTCTCTGCTTACAGATAACCACGTTGTTATGGTGCAAAGAATGTTAGGTAACAAACCTGGAACCGGTGGCTCATCTGGATACCAATACTTGCGTTCAACCGTCAGGTAAATTCGTCTTTCATCATGGAAAAAGAATTTATCACTAGGATACCCAATCATGTGACATGTATGTGTGGAATATCTATAGGTAGAAATTGTCATGAGTATTGTCAGACAATCTGACAGGAGGCAATGCCTCTCATTAGAATGACATAAAACTGAAAGGGTGCTTGTACCTGCCTGGGGTTTAGAATTGTTATTATATATGTAGAATTGTTATATTATGTAGAATTATGAACAGCTATCTCGGTCCCATCTAGTCTGGCTGGAAACCGCATCGGTACATTCGTGTTCTTTTTTCTTATCTGTGATATCGACAGTAATATGTCCAGTTATATATAGATTAAACCGATACAGATACGCGGGAATTTTGTGTTTGTTTCTACCCGCGTACAGTGACAGATACAAGGTGTTTTTGGACCTCTTCAACCTGTCCTCATATCTGATCCCGCGGAAATACATCCCGCCCCTGACACGCATCATGAAGCGCCGCCTATCGGTGATGGAAGATATGATCCTAGTCCCCAAAATCGGAGTCGCCAACGCTGAAGCTGCTGAAGCTGCTGAAGCTGCCGAAGCTGCCGAAGAAAAGGACGAGGAATAATGGAGATGTTAACTGTGCTAGAGATGAACGGAGAACGAGGTGTCATTGCGGACCCTCACTGCTCAACGCCGTCAACCCCCTATTCATGTTCTTGTGTACGTACGCACATCAGCGGGATACCATACAGTTCGATGAGTTGTATGCTTAAATATTCAGTAAAATGTATTTTGATTTATTCATTATATCACCCAGCACTAATAAGACTGATTAATACCTTTGATATAGTCGCCACAAGACCGGATAAACGCATGTTTAAGTAATCGGCTTAAGCAATCGCATCCGAAATTTATTGAACTATGTTGCGGGTGATGAACAAAAATCGAGTTTCGATGCGCATTAACTTTCCTGAAGCGCAATGCGTTTCGCTGACATTTCGCGGCCCATGGTAAATGCAAACAACTACAGGAATGCTTGTGGTGGTGGCGTGAGCAAACAGATTGTTGTAAACCGTGTTGTTTCGCTTGCCCGAGGGCACCGACGCGGCATGGATGCATAAATCATCTCGTCGTGGGTTAAGTCCGTACGTCTCAGTTAAGCGTAGATTTTACGGATTTTGTGGTTTCTAGTTTTGCGGTACGGGTGAGAGCAAGGGTGGGGACAAAGGTACGGATAAGTTGGGTTGCGTAAACGGAAAATAACCCTTAGCATGACGAGCCGTGCCGTGGATTAGCTGCTGTACGCAATTACATATCAGCAAATCAGTAAGCAAATTCGTATAAGTTGACGGAAAGGGAAATGTAAATGATATAATAATTTAAACATAATAAAATCGATTGCTCAAGTCGACAAAGTCAATTGACGGTACGACCGATTAACTAGGTAAAGCAATTTATAGCTTTTCTATATTTAAAGCTTTTAGAACACGCGGCAGTATAAATTAGTAATAAAATATACCGTTGCTAGTTTTACAGTTTTTATACTGCATGCAATTTGGGAAATCATAACAACTTAATTAAATAAAACTATAATATAGACATTTCAATTCATTTTTCTCATTTCGTATTCTTACTTGATATTTGATATAGATTCAGTTTGTATACATCGTTGCTGTGGATTAGCCCAACACGCTGTCCTATAAATGTATCTATGAACATAACCGCTACCAGCATAATCCCGGTACTGTACGGTAAGGTACGATATGGTACGGTGAGGTGCGATACGGTACGGTACAGTGCGATACGGTACGGTACGGTGCAATCCGGTAGGGTAAGGTACAATACGGTACGGTACAGTACGATACGGTACGGTACGGTGCGATCCGGTAGGGTAAGGTACAATACGGTACGGTACAACAAATTCTGAAAGATATCGCGCAAACAGCTTGAAGAATAAGGGAAACTGAGCTATGCTTTTTTGCCATTGAAAATGGTAGTCACTGTAATAGACTGTTTTCACATCACCCTACTTGCTATACGTCTACCATCTCCTCTACCTTCACATCCCATCGTATTCTTCTGCTATACCCCATCGCCAAACACCTTCTCTCGCTTCCCGTCTGCCTCCCTTCTACTCAGCCACCTCCTTCTCCCCTTCCATGCCTTTTCGCCGCCTTCTCGCCTCTTTCTCTCATTTACCTCCAGTACGTCTTTAATTCCAATTCTCAAATTAGTTTTTGCGTGTTGTGCTCGTTACAATTAATAGATAATATAGTCAAAATAATACATCTTATAACAAAAAGTAGGCATGCACATAGATCAGATTCTGCGAGATTTCATGCGACAACATGAGGAATATGGAAATACTGAGTCAGGGCTATTTCATATAGAAAAAAGGAATCATCGTAATGGACTTTTTTACGTAATTGTACGCAGGAATAGCTCTTCTTAATATTAAATGTATTTTTTTCAAAATGATAATGAATTTCTGCTATACGTTTATTACTATATTATGCACTGTTCTTCATTTCGTACTGCACGCCTAAAACGGTGCTCACGCTTGCGCAATACCTGGCAAAAATTACACATTTGAAATGGAGAAGAAGTTAGCTCTCATCAATCTCTCAAGCTTATCATAGATTTACATAATAACATTTCATCGGTAGACCTCGTGAAAAAATGGGACGAGAACCTTGCATGTAAGGTGCCCGCTGCATATAACAGGCAGTACACAATCTGGCTATGTTAGTGTGTTAGCGCATGCGCATTATCACACCAGAGAAGCTATATTTTGTGACGATTATGCATTTAATATGGTTATGGGGTACCTCGGCATAGATTTATGTAATAAATTGTTGTCGGTAGCCCTGTGTTTATTATTGGCAGAGCGCCCTAGCCTGTAGGGTGGAAAACTCAAACTTCACCCCTTCCGTCCTACCCCTTGCCTCCCCTGTCCCTCGCTCAGCCTCCTTCTTCTTCTACCGCTCTCAGCTATCTTCCCTGCGGCCTTCCATCAATCTCCCACCCTTCTCTCTCTCAGCAAGCTATAATTATTATGCAGTGTTTTTCAGTCCGTACTGAACGCCTAAAAGGAAGTTCGCGCATGCGCAATATCTCCCAAGAAAAAGAATATTTTGCAAAAATTACACATTTAAAATGAAGAGCAAGTATTCTAGCATAGATTTACAGAATAACATTCCATCGGTAGACCTCACGTAAGAAATGGGACGAGTACCTTACATGTAAGGTGCCCGCTGCATATAACAGTCAGTACACAATCTGGCTATGTTAGTGTGTTAGCGCATGCGCATTATCACACCAGAGGAGCTATATTTTGTGACGATTATGCATTCAATATGGTTCTGGGGTATTTCGGCATAGATTTATGAAATAAATTGTTATTAGAACAATACGGTACGGTACAGTACGATACGGTACGGTACGGTGCGATCCGGTAGGGTAAGGTACAATACGGTACGGTACAGTACGATACGGTACGGTGAGTTGTGGTAAGGCGTGGCCGTGCAGCGGTGTAATAAGTTGCATGCAGTACCACCTGCGCATGCCTCGTACCGCGCAAACGCACAGTGCGCATATTGACCGCGCCTGACCAGTGGCGTTGGAAACCAAGCGTGTCTAACAGCGGTCAGCGTTCGATAACGAGTTACATGTTACATGTTAGCAATTAACCTCGCCCCGATTCTCGCCGAACTTCTGACTGATTGACCGCTACCGGCATGCATGAGTAATGATTCGGATACGAAAGAAATAAGCCAGCTCCTCCCTGCAGGCTGTTTCCCCGGAATATTCCACACATTTCCAAATGACTTTTTTTACACACACACACACACACACACACACACACACACACACACACACACACACACACACACACACACACACACACAGTGTGTATGTGTATTTGTTTCACGTCTAAAAAATACGGCCATCTCATCACACCGTTTGCTGGTTGAAGGAATAACCTAGCAATTATTGTCGCATTGCGTGACGCGCCGAAGAAACGTAGACGAGCCCCTCACTCGTCGTCCCTTCCAGCACGCGTCAGCAACGTCGACGAGTGACCTCGTCTATGTGTCGTCGCTGATATCGTGGTCAGAGGTCACCCAAGACAAACGCTGGCGACAAGGAAGCGATCGCCTAATGATGCGATTGACTCACTGGAGATGTTATTACCACACGAGAGTGGAACTCGCTAACCTGCATGTCGGCAACATCTGCCATTACATCACGCGAGCCATTAGGCCTGCGAAGCGACTACCAAAGTAAAAAAGGAAGCGATTACCGCTCACTACTTATTTGCTCGCGAAGAACAAAAAACAAGATATAGACATTCTCGCCAATCAATACCAGAGCCGTATATAGAGACTATACACTACGGCCTACAGGCCTACGGCTCTGCTCAGGTACTCTACTCAATACTAACTAGTAGCGCCACCTGAATGCGCGTTATTCCCTCTCTCCTTTGACTTTTAACCATGCCTTTACCATTGACCTTGAAGTTTCCCATGTGACCTTTTCTTTCGACATTTCTTCCTTTTTAAATTTCTAGTTAATTCGAGTAAATATGGTGTATATCATCAGTAATCGACGTCATCTTTATTCTATATGTTGTTCGGTGGGTATACACCATGCGAATAACATACCACATCATACAGCAGATAATCCTGGTAACAATACACTTTCAACAATACAGTATGTATTGTTGAACACCTTCTAACAATACACTGTGTATTGTAGTAGGTACCTATGAGCTTTCAACAATACAGTATGTATTGTTGAACACCTTCTAACAATACACTGTGTATTAAAGTAGGTACCTAACAACTGTGTATTTAAATTCAATTTCATTTTCAATAAATTCAATAAAATCAATCAAATAATTTCAATAAATTCATTTAAATAAATATCAATTTCAAGTTTACAAATCAAAAAGTAAACTAATGAAAAAAAAGTGTATTTTTAGAAGATGTTCAACAATAAACAGTGTATTGTTGAAAGCTCATAGGTACCTACTACAATACACAGTGTATTGCTGAAAGCTCATAGGTACCTACTACAATACACAGTGTATTGTTAGAAAGTGTTCAACAATACACAGTGTATTGTTGAAAGCTCATATGTACCTACTACAATACACAGTGTATTGTTAGAAGGT